CATACTTTAGGGGCATGTATACCAACACAATAAAAAAAAAATTTTGACAATCAGACACTCCAGACCCGCGAAATTTAATTATTAGTAATTCCGGGTACTTTTTGAACACACCTCGTATATATATATATATATATATATATATATATATTTTTTTTTTTTTTTTTTTTTTTTTTTGTTACAATTTATTTTTGTTAATCAAGACTTTAATGTCTTATTTACAAAATTGATATGAGCAAAAAAAAAATACAAAAAAACAAAAAATGCAATACATTGAATACAAAATGAAAAAAGTTAAAATAAAAATTAAATTAAAACAGTAATACAAAAATAATAACATAAATGAACGATGACGTGATGATGTATGCCGCGTACTACGTCAGGGCGCGTGCAGACATTGGGCTAGGTGTTTGGTAGATCGGAAGGCCATTTCTTGCTCAATCTTCTTATCGGCCTCTGAATCGCTTGAATTGTAGGATTTGTGTGCTGGATTAATTTGTTGTTGAAAGATGAACTTCTAATCTTGATCATTTCGTTGACCGTTGAGATTTTCAAATCCTTATGTAGGCAAAAATTCGAAATATACCAAGGCGCATTAGTAAGGATACGCAGAATTTTATTCTGGCACCTTTGAATTATGTTTATGTTAGATTTGCATGAGCAACCCCATAGTTCGATTCCATAAGTCCAAATGGGCACTATGATAGTTTTATACAAAAGTACCTTGTTATCGAGAGAGATTTCAGATTTCCTTCCAAAAAGCCAGTAAAAATCTTTTATTTTCAGTTGGATTTGTTTCTTTTTATATTCAATGTGCGTTCTCCATGTCAATTTCGAATCAATGTGCATGCCTAAATATTTAACAGAATTGCATAGTGGAATTATTGAATTGTTCATGATGATAGGTGGACTGTTGTGATGTTTTAGAGAAACAATTATGTGCTGAGATTTTTCGATATTGATTTTGATATTCCAATCTAAAAACCATTTTTCGAGACTAGATAAATAATTTTGTAACTGACAAGTTGCTGTTCTAATATCGGAATTGCATGAAATAATTGCTATGTCATCGGCGTAAGTGCATATGGTTAGAAGATCATCTGTGGGCATATCGTTTGTGAAAAGAAGATAAAGTACAGGGCTTAGCACACTGCCCTGTGGTACCCCGCATTCTATATTTCTGATGCTCGAAGTCACATCTTTAATTTTGATTCTAAATTTTCTATTAAGCAAATATGAGCTTAAGATATTGAAGTAGTTTGGAAAAGTTGTTTTGATTTTATATAGGAGTCCTGAGTGCCAACCTTATCAAAAGCCTGACTGACATCTAAGAATACGGCTACGCTGTGTTCCTTTCTATTCATGGCTTCAAGAATACGAGACACCGTTCTGTTGCATTGTTGAATTGTAGAGTGATTTTTTCTGAAGCCAAACTGATGGTGAGGAATCCAACTATCATTCGGATGATCTTCTGACAATCTCTGCAACAAAAGTCTCTCTAAAATTTTCGATAATATCGATAAAAGACTGATAGGACGGTATGAACTAGCAGTGTGATGGTTTTTGTTTGGTTTAGCGATCATAATAATTTCTGCAGTCTTCCACGCTGTGGGCCAATAATTGTATTGAAGTATGGCGTTGAAAATATTTGTTATATATAAAATACCTTTTGTAGGCAATTCTTTTAACATCTTTGGAGTAATTTTATCCATACCCGGCGAAGATCTATTTTTTATCCTTTTTATTTCACATAAGACGTCATTTGGTGAAAAATGTCCTAACGGTGTAGAATGTATGGGTTGATTTACGAAATTGTTAATTAAATTATTCTGGGAAATATTTCGAGCGCTAAAAATGCTACTTAGATGATCAGCAAATGCCTCCGCTTTTTCTTCGTTGCTTTTTGCCCAAATGAATCCGTTTTGGTTGGTTATTTTCAGAGGAGGGTTTTGTTGTAGGGGTTTACTTTTGTTTCTGATTGGTTTCCATATGGAATTATCGTATCTATTTAGCTGCAATATATACGACCTGAATGTACAATTCTTCCATTCTTTCATTTTTTTCCTCAGCGTGTTATTGAGATGATTGAGCGATGTCTTATCCGTTGGTAGATGAGAATGTTGCCAGGTACGTCTTGCTCTTCGTTTCTGTGCAATTAGCTTCTTAATCTCTTGCGGAATTATTAGATTATCATTTCTTGGAATAATGTTCGGGGTGATCTGCTTGGTTGTTTCACGTACAATCTCAGAAAAATAATCTATATTATTTTCTATATCAATAACGCTTGTAGGCCTAGATTTTGGAAATAATTTTGAATCAAGTATGGATTTGAATTGAATCCAGTTAGAAAGATTGTTGTGTAGAATATGATTGTTGATAACTGGAGTAGGAAATGTGCTAAACGTCACAAGTATTGGAGAATGATCTGAAGAGAGATCGTAACTAGATTCAACATTGAGATTTGAAAGATCAATACCTTTCACAATAAAAAAATCTAAAAGGTCTGGAACTTTAGTAGGGTCAGAAGGCCAATAAGTTGGACTGCAAGTTGAAACAAAGGAGAGGTTATTTTGCCCTATGGCTGCATGAAGAAGAAGGCTGTAGTCAGTCTAGAACCCCAGGCAATATGTTTACAATTAAAGTCACCACCAATGATAAATTTATTACCTAATTGAGAGAAAAATGAAGAAAACTGAGCACAAGAAATTTTGAATCTTGGTGGACAATAAACAGCAGAAACACAAAAATTATATAAATTTGTTTCAACAGAAATTTGAGTTGCTTGTAGAAAATCATCAGAAATATTTGGTAGAACAAAATGCTTTATATTATTTTTGATTAATATAGCCGAACCGCCGCGAGCCCTGCCACTTGGGTGATTTGAATTATAAGTAGTGTAGTTATAAATTTTAAAGTAGTTTTTTTCAGTGAAGTGAGTTTCTGAGATTAATAAGATATCTATTAAGTTTAACTTTAAAAAACATTCTACTTCATTTTTGTGAGGTATTAAACCGTTGGCATTCCATTCAGCAATTTTAATTATTTTTGCCATTGCTTTTGTTGTTGACTAACGTGGATAACATATTTATTATTATGGTGTTCTGTTGCAAAAGCTGATTGAAAATATTTTTAAATTCTAAAATAAGTGTTGCTAGAGAATCAGAATCGGGATTTGAAGGTGAATGATTAGAAGCAGAGTAATTGTTTTTTGCAATGTCTGCATAGGATGAATTTTGAATTGTTGGATTTAAGGCCGGAGAAATGTTGTTTATTTTATTATTAGAATTAGAATTATTAAAATTTTGGTTATTTGGATTTGGATTTATGACTGATTCATTTACTGGAGATTTGTTTCTTTGTTCTTTAATTTTTTGGAAGTATGAGCAACCGCGATAATTAGCTGGATGAGCACCGTCGCAAAAATAACAACATGCCGGAGCATTCGGATCTTTGGTACAAGCTATAGTATTATGATTGTCACCGCATTTTAGGCAAGCAAATGGTCTATTGCAGTATTTTTTGGTGTGATTAAAGAGTTGACAGCGAGTGCATTGTATAATGTTGTTGGACTTTCTCGGTGGTTCGACGCGTATTATGCAGTTGAATAATTTATAAATGTTATAAATATTTTTGTTATTTCTATTTGGTTCCAGATCAACAAAAAACATATTAAGAGGTTCTTTTGTTATTCTATGTCTAATATTAGGATATTACGTACGACATGACCCTGTTTTAATAGTTCTAATTTAATTGCATCTGTGCTTGTCGAAAAGTGTACATTTCTAAGAACAACCCTATAAGCCTTCTCTTTTTAATTGATATGTATGATATACGGCATTAGTTTCTTTTAGATGTCTGGATAAAGTTCGAAAATGGTCGACAGAATTACATAGAATTTTAAATGTATTGTTAGCCAAACTTCTCAGGAAATATTGATCATGCGGAATTATTTCGTTTAATTGATTAGACATATCATTAATATCGTCAACTCCGTAAATAAATATTGGAGGGGGCTTACTGACTGGGGCCGGTTTAACTAAGTTGTCGTCATTAGCTGTGTCTATTGTTGAAAGGGCCGAAAATTTGTTTTGAATTTTGACATCTATTCCTAATGGTTCAAATGAAGTTTTTCTTTTTTTGAAATTGACTACTTGCCATGAATTAGGAGGTTTCTTGACATCAGAATGTGGTTGAGTGAGGCTTGTAGATGCACTATTACTAGATGATATTACTTCCTGTCTTGAGTCAGAAACTGATGAAGTTGAACGCAGCGAGACCTTTTCCGATGTAAACATATTGGTCCGACCTTCTTCGCGAGGTATCTTGCTGTATTTGCTGGATCCAATAACGGTCTTTCGTAGTTTTGGGATTTCTGATGGTTTACTGTCCGATTCCATATTCGCTTCTATATCTTGATTGAAATGTAAGACATTTTTTTGATTCCACAAACGCACATTAGAATCTCGATTATGTATGGTTTTTTGTAAGCAATTATTTAATTATCTGTACACTTTTGTAAGCTTTTCATGCAATTTTAATAAACCGTAAAATTCAATCTGACATGCACCATATATATATATATATATGTATGTATAAATATGTATATATTTATATGTATATATATATATATATATATGTTTATATGCGTATATATGTGTATGTGCAAGTGCATATGTATTTATAAATGTCGATGTGTATATGTGGTTATACATATAAATATATACATAATAATATTTCTCATTGAGAATCGCCGAGCACAGAGAAATCGAACTAGTTTCGCAACTACATTTATTTTTCTTATTATGTAGAGAAAACGTTGCTATCAACTTGCAATACTTGCCGAGTAATCGAACAAATAACAATCATTGAAGTCCTCTAAATGTTTTCAAGATTAGTTTAACACATTTTATGATAATTAATAATTTGTGATTCTTTAGAAACTATATTTTCCAATAGAGATCTATGTTAGGATATGATTATTCAGAGTTTTTTTTTATTTTTAGGATATATTAGTAGGAGCCGCGAACATAGTTCTTACTGGCGGTGCGGAAAGCATGTCTCAAGCTCCCTTTGTCGTTCGTAATATTAGATTTGGTACAACATTGGGAGCCCCTTTACAATTGGAGGATTCTTTATGGATTGGATTAACCGATTCTTATTGTAAATTACCTATGGCGCTGACAGCTGAAAACTTGGCATCTCAATATAAAATACCACGAGAGAAAGTAGATGAGTTTGCACTACAGTCTCAACAAAAGTGGAAAAAAGGTTAATAAATTGGCTTATTCGTGCTTTAGTTAATAGAATATGTTTTGCAAAAATATGATAAAAAGTAATCATCTCGAGTTACAACATGTTTCATTTACGTATGTATTTGAATTGTTTAGCTTTAGATGAAGGTGTATTCAAATCAGAAATTGCCCCTATGTCACTAACAATCAAGAAAAAAGAAGTACAATTCTGTGTAGATGAACATCCAAGACCACAAACAACTCTAGAAAGTTTATCCAAATTACCTACAATTTTCAAGAAAGATGGCGTTGTCACAGCTGGATCTGCTTCCGTAAGTTCCTTCCAAGTAAAAAATTGATTTCTTGAATAGATTTAAAAAATGCGTACATTGTTTTTGAAAAAAAAATCATATTCTAAACTTATCCAAGGTAACTTTCTAAACTATCCCATAATAAATAACCTTAGTGTCAATGTTGCAGATTCTAGTTAATATTTTCAGCTGATCATATTTTGTCGGCAATGCCATAAGACCCGCACCTGTACTTGAAGTGGCTGGCATTATTATTTCTTTTAAATGCTTGAAGAATAACATTTGGTGCACCCCTATGTTTACGTATACTTCTTACAATTACCCCAAAAGTTTCATAATTATTCCCCCTCTAATTTAGCATTCTAAATAAAATTTAAATGTTTGAAATATTATTATTAGCCAGAATTATCAGAAATAAATTAAAGTATGTTTTTTTATTATTCCAGTGGTTCATGACATTGTGTCTTCTTAAGGCAACCATAATTCAACATTCGAGGAATAAAAATAATCGATAAAAAATTAAAATTATTCAATAATTTACTAAAATTGTTTTCAATAATTTTAAGCTGTAAATTTTGAACTTGTATATATTTTGAGTTTTTTTTTCAATTTTGTATTCTATTTGTTTGAAATTTGTTGGAAATTTTGAAAAAATATTTTTTTTAATTTCGAAAAATTCTAAAAATGTTATTAATACATATTAATAATAAACACTGTTATTAAATTTAATACATATGTCTACCTTGCCCTGACCCAATTAGTTACATTCCACTACTTTAATAGAATGTAACTCTCACATTAAGCTGGACATTATTGTATATTTTGTTGCAGGGAATATCGGATGGAGCAGCAGCGATTGTTTTAGCATCAGAAGAATCCTGCAAACAGCATGGCTTAAAACCTTTGGCAAGATTGGTTGGATACTCTACAGTTGGTGTTGAACCTAGCATAATGGGTATCGGACCCGTACCTGCTATTGAAAACGTTCTGAAAGTTACAGGAAATAATATGCAAGATATAGATTTGTTTGAGGTATGAAACTATTCGTAAAATGCTTTAGAAATTTACCCGCAGGGTAAGTTTTAGTAATTGTCCAAAAATTGATAATGAAAGTTTTTGCATATCTTATCGATTCACAGGTTTCAGAAAATTTTGCATATCTCAGAAAAATTGAATGTGTGTGTATGTATACAGTTTTTAATTTCCCGTAGGAGTAGTTTATGTTTTTATCAAAAACGGATTTTTTCGCAATATTTCTGTTTTCTCGATGTTTCAAGCCATTCTGAATTGAATGAAATCAAATTTGGAAAAAAAAATATGTGTGTGTAGGTGTATGTGAACAGTTTTTACTCTGAATCGACGTTTTCAAAAAAGGCATTTGATGTATCTCGATGAGGACTGTCGTTTGCAAGTTTTGCACGACCATCGGCCAAGCCGTGCCTTTCTAAATTGCAGAAAAGTGAAAAATTTTTCGTCCACGTTTTAGCTCGCGATTTTGAATCGATTTAAAAAATTTAAATACTGTTCGAAAGATATTGTTACAAGTTGAGAATCGACCTGATCAGTTTGTGGTAAAGATTCGCTGGAACAATTCCTTGTAATTAACTGCTGAAAACGACAAATAGTTTAATTTTAAAAATTCATCAAAATTTGAAAAAATATTGTAGTTCAAAATTTGTGTCATAAGTCGCTTTTGTAATGTAATAAGGCAATCAAGTCAATTAGAAATGGCTTTGGAATTAGTAAAAAAGTAAATGAACAGTCTACGTGTCGTAAATTTTTTTTTCTGTTATAATTTATTTTTGTAAAACAAGACTATTAATGTCTTATTTACAAAATTGGTGGGTGCAAAAAAGAAATAATACAAAAAAATACAATAAATTGAATAAAATAAAACAGAGTTAAAATAAAATAAAATAATAACAGTAATACAAAAATAATAACATAAATGAACTATGACATGGTGATGTATGCCGCGTAAGTAAGGGCGCGACATCGGGCTATGTGTTTGGTAGGTCGGAAGGCCATTTCTTGCTTAGTCTTCTTAACGGTCTGTGAATCGCTTGAATAGTAGAATTTGCATGCTGGATTAATTTATTGTTGAAAGATTTTTTTATTCTCTATTTTCATAAACTTCTAATTTTGATCATTTCGTTGACTGTAGAGATTTTCAAGTTTTTATGTAGGCAAAAGTTCGAAATATACCAAGGCGCATTAGTTAAGATACGTAGAATTTTGTTCTGGCACCTTTGAATAATGTTTGTTTTTGATTTACAAGCGCAACCCCATAGTTCTATTCCATAAGTCCAAATGGGCACTATAATAGTTTTACAGAAGCACCTTGTTATCTAGACAGATTTCGGATTTCCTTTCAGTTGGATTTCTTTTTATTTTCAATGTGCGTTCTCCGTGTCAATTTCGAGTTGATGAGCATGCCTAAATATTTAAAAGTGTTGCATAGTGGAATTATTGAATTGTTTATGGTGATAGGTGGACTATTGCGGTGTTTTAGTGAAACAATTATGTACTGAGATTTTTCGATATTGATTTTGATATTCCCTTCTAAAAATCATTTTTCGAGATTAGATAAATAGTATGGAACTGACAAGTTGCTGTTGTAATATCAGAATTGCATGAATTTATAGCTATGTCATCGGCGTAAGTGCATATGGTGAGAAGATTATCTGTGGGCATATCGCTTGTAAAAAGAAGATAAAGTACTGGGCTTAGGGGTACACTGTCCTGTGGTACCCCGCATTCTAAATTTTTAATGCTGGAAATCACTTCTTTAATTTTGATTCTAAATTTTTTATCAAGTAAAAATGAGTTTACGATATTGAAGTAGTTTGGAAAAGTTGTTTTAATTTTATATAGGAGTCTTGAGTGCCAAACATTATTAAAAGCCTGGCTGACATCCAAAAATACTGCTTCGCTGTGTTCTTTCTATTCATGGCTTCAAGAATACGAGACACCGTTCTGTTGCATTGTTGATTTGTAGAGCGGTCTTTTCTGATAAATAGTATGGAACTGACAAGTTGCTGTTGTAATATCAGAATTGCATGAATTTATAGCTATGTCATCGGCGTAAGTGCATATGGTGAGAATATTATCTGTGGGCATATCGCTTGTAAAAAGAGATAAAGTACTGGGCTTAGGGGTACACTGTCCTGTGGTACCCCGCATTCTAAATTTTTAATGCTGGAAATCACTTCTTTAATTTTGATTCTAAATTTTTTATCAAGTAAAAATGAGTTTACGATATTGAAGTAGTTTGGAAAAGTTGTTTTTATTTTATATAGGAGTCTTGAGTGCCAAACATTATTAAAAGCCTGGCTGACATCCAAAAATACTGCTTCGCTGTGTTCTTTCTATTCATGGCTTCAAGAATACGAGACACCGTTCTGTTGCATTGTTGATTTGTAGAGCGGTCTTTTCTGAAGCCAAACGGGTGGTGTGGAATCCAACTATCATTGGGATGAGCTTCTGACAATCTCTGCAACCAGGGCCGGTCCTGCCTTGCATGCGATGCATGCAAAAAATGCGGGCGCACGCCTTAGGGGGCGCCAAAACGAGATTCGGAAATTTGTTACTTTCATAAGAGTATCAAATACATACTTCTGTTGTCATTCAACAGTGGGAAGATTTGTTTCGATAAAATCTTTCAAATTGTTGAGATCATACAGTTTTTCTCGGTGCAACTCTTGATTAAAAGCATCATGCATTGAACGATTGGCGCATCCAGGCCTAATTGAATTAATAGTTTATTTGACATCATCAAGCACATATCTTCAATTAAAATCAATGCTTCGTTGTGAATTTCTTCACTGATTTGCATATTTGGATTTCCCATTCTATTCCGTATTTGACACAAAATATCATCACACATGCAATCTTTGTACTTGATCCACAAATCAATTGGGTTTGATGGAAGCATGTGGATATGATTATCAAAAACAATGTTCGTATTTGATGAGCGTGTGAGGATATTACAGCATCACTGAGAGTTTGATCCCAATGAGCGTCATTTTCTAGCAATTGTAAACATTGACAGGCTTCTCTGTAGGATCCACACAATTGACCATCAACATTTCGTAAATGTTGGAATGATGTTGGGCCACGTACATTGACTAATAGCAGTCGTAAATAGAAACATTCATCATTGCCTGGATGTACTGAATAAATTCGACCAATCGCATCGGTCGAATATACATCTGGGTATCCTGGTACTGCTTTTCCTTTTTTTCCGTCGTATAAATCTCCTTAAAGATTGATTCCAAGTATAGTATTTTGGCATTTCAGAATATAGCAGTGTTTGTGCAAAATTATCGTTTTGACATGTCTCAAATAAACTTGTTAATGTAGTAGATGGTGGCTCTTTGACCTGCGTTCTCTGCCGTAAAGTACACCCTTTGCCCATTTTCTAAATGCACAGCTAAGTGAATAACATAAGGGTGTCTCTCATGAATTGGAAAAGAAAATATTCTCCAAATTGCTTCATTACTACTAACATAGTGGCCCATTTGGTATTGAGTAACTTCATCATTGGAATTCTCTGCACCAATTCCAACGACAGCCATATCACTACCTTTGGTTACATACTTGCAAATGTATTTAATAGATTTTACTGAATGGCAAGATTCAACGTTTATGTGTGCTTTGAAGGTCTTTGATAAAATGAACATTCACATTGATTTTTTTTATCTTATATGACTTGAAGTCAAATCCTTTAAAGCTATACCAATTTTGTCGCCTGCCGAAAGTAAAACAAATGAAGTAATATCGAGAAGCCTACTACGATTATTTGTATTAGTTAGAAAAGGGCTGTTTTTAGGGTTTTTCCGACAATTATTCGATATTTTCTCGCCGTAAGAACCATCCTTGGACATCAACAAACATTTTAAAAAAAGAATTGGTCAAATTGGTCCAGGCGTTGTTGAGTTATGCGCTTACCAACACATTTTGCGATCCATTTTTATTCAGAATATAGCAGTGTTTGTGCAAAATTATCGTTTTGACATGTCTCAAATAAACTTGTTAATGTAGTAGATGGTGGCTCTTTGACCTGCGTTCTCTGCCGTAAAGTACACCCTTTGCCCATTTTCTAAATGCACAGCTAAGTGAATAACATAAGGGTGTCTCTCATGAATTGGAAAAGAAAATATTCTCCAAATTGCTTCATTACTACTAACATAGTGGCCCATTTGGTATTGAGTAACTTCATCATTGGAATTCTCTGCACCAATTCCAACGACAGCCATATCACTACCTTTGGTTACATACTTGCAAATGTATTTAATAGATTTTACTGAATGGCAAGATTCAACGTTTATGTGTGCTTTGAAGGTCTTTGATAAAATGAACATTCACATTGATTTTTTTTATCTTATATGACTTGAAGTCAAATCCTTTAAAGCTATACCAATTTTGTCGCCTGCCGAAAGTAAAACAAATGAAGTAATATCGAGAAGCCTACTACGATTATTTGTATTAGTTAGAAAAGGGCTGTTTTTAGGGTTTTTCCGACAATTATTCGATATTTTCTCGCCGTAAGAACCATCCTTGGACATCAACAAACATTTTAAAAAAAGAATTGGTCAAATTGGTCCAGGCGTTGTTGAGTTATGCGCTTACCAACACATTTTGCGATCCATTTTTATATATAAGATTATTCACTTTTTTTTAATATAAAATCTAGAATACTTAATAGATTATAATAAACAATCTAACTCAATGGATACGTAGACGCAAAAAGCATATTCAGTTTGCAATGTCATATCAGTAGAAACAATTCATTACTTTGCAAATTAGTAAATTATTGTTCCGCTTATTATTTAATGTACTTATTAAATTCTTCTCGTTTGAAGTTAATGTGGATTCGAAAAAGAAATTATCTAGTGTTCAAACCCGTAAGCGCAAACCTACGAAAGTTTAAATTATTGGGCATTATTGACGAAAAACTACGAGCTGATTTAGATTGAACGAAACTTGTTAAAAAAATAGATATAAATTATAATAGAGAAACATGGAAAATC